GAAGAAATACGGTATATAAAAATTTCCCATACCATCCTTGAGATTTTTTTCCATAAATAAAAACTTTTGTACTGGCATTGTGAGGGTATAATAAGCACTATTAGAATAACTACAAATTTAAACCATTCACTTTATTGAGCAAGCGTTTCCTTTGAAAAAAAACGGGACACTTCTTTAAAAGGACAGAGTTGAAAATCTCTTATGAGCGACAGATTATCATATAATGTAGATGAATAGTGTTTGGCTTATAAACTTAGTTTATATATGAACTCTAATATGACACCACGGGTGTCGGTACAAAGTTTTAATTTTTTGGCAAAATCTCTTGGTGTTGGTGACCATGAAACAAGAAATTTCTTTGTATTTGGAAGTGTGAAATCGGGAAAAAATTATGAAAAAAATTGTAGTATCCATTAGAATTAATATATAAACTAAGACTTTTAGCCGAAGTTTTAATTTTCTGGCAGAAATCCCATGCCCCCGGCCCATATGGTGAGTGTGGTGACCGTGGTGGTATGGGAATTTTATATAGTACTCCTTCCTTATGCTCAAATGCTGGCGTTGCTGGCGCAATATGTTTATCATTTTTCAATCGAATTGGGGGTCATGTTTTGCAAACATTAAACATTGGAATGATTCGTGTCCACGGCTGCTGCGCGAATGTCGAGATGTTCTTCCGCTTGTTCTTCATATCCCCTGCCGAGAATGTCTTGATGTTCTTCCGTGATCACTCAATAAGTTCTTCAACTCGCAAAAGCTCGGTTTGTTTATCCTAGAATGAATCATTTTCGTTCACTGATACGTAAGTATATATAATAAAATGTTATATCAGTTATCTTTGTGGCCTGATAGCTAAAAGATAATCGATAAATATTCCAACTAATAAACTGACTAATAAACTAATGACTTTGTCTATCTGACGCACAAGCTTCTTGTTTGTGTTCGAGATTAGAAGCGATTCTACAGAGAACATCCACAAAGTCTCTTCCTTCACTTATTACACTGGCTGAATTCTCCAACCGGCCCATTTTTCCAACCAACCTCTTTTATGTCGATGTCCAAAAGAACATTGTTGATTGATCGATTTATCAAATTCCCATTGAGGGCAGTTCTTTTTCAAAGGAGTCTACTTCACCAGTTCCTCGCCTACCGAGCATTCGGTGAGCGACACTTTCGAGGAAAGGAATTCCCATCTAAACGCTGACAAAAGTAACTTTCCAAAAGACATGTCCGTGTGGCGTTAAGAAGTATTTGTGCTTGATTCCTACGTATTCCTCCTTGCTCTTTCTTTAAAGTTTACCGAGATATAATTTATTCATTATCACACTTAGCAATCTCACATCAAATCGGCAAATAAATAAAAGCATCCTTAAAACGGGCAAAATTTAGGTACGCGACAAAAGGGTCCACAATACAAAAAAACAGTCATCCGTGTTACAGACCATCTTCACCGTTGACACAGCGGTGAGTTGCACTGCGGACTCTCTGAGTCCTGATGCGGCTTTTCCAATCTCGGTCACCAAGCACACATTACAGGTCTCTCCTTGCAGACCCTCCGAGTAGAACGCACCACAGAACGGACAACTAAAAGTAAAATGTTTTAAGCATGATTGAACACTTAAAATTAGATGCCCAAAACAAGCTAAAACAAACCGCGTTTGTGGACATCCTCGATAAAGAGTTAGATAAATGTACGCGAGCAAGCCTTGAAGGGATTACTTGTGCTCGCTCGTGAGGCCAGCTCAATCGCATCGTTGTTTTCTTTTTTCAGCCACGGCCTTTACTTCGCCAATTCGCGTACCAACTTTCGACTCGGTCCTAAAACATACACATTGAGTGATCAAAAATTGATACAAGCCAAGCTCGAAGACGCCGACACTAGAGCACGTCCACATTTGCTTCAACTTAAGAAGGTTTGGACTGCCGAGTTCGAACGCGTCAATATCCGATGCACGGGTTGAGAGTTCGAGACGTTGAACTATGCGCACTGGATTCAGCGTTTCTGAAAGTGAAATTTTATTAATAGAAGCGTTCAGCTAAAAGTCACCTCTTGATTTTCTTCGGGGGCTCTTCTTGGGAAGATCTTTTTTGGATTATGTCTCAAGCAAAAGTCCAGCTAGGTATTCTCGGCAGATCTCCACGAGGATTCGTTCGACTTCGGCCACTTCTTGCCTACTGTTGACAACGAGGAGAGGGTGTGCTGTCGAATTTCACGGTCCATCGATCGCTTCAACCAGCTTTCCCTAAATAGATTCGTCTTCAAAATGAAAAATGGGTACCTGTGGGTTGTAAGAAGATAGTTTTGCTGCAGTTGGGTAGCCAAATGATTAAGGTGGAATGGAGCAACCGGCAGCCCATTACGATCCAGTAGCTTCTTGCCAGTTACGCAAGGATATCCGAGAAGAGTGGCTTTTGATACGCCGGGCACTCCAGAAGTAAACAGGTACGAGAACGGACAAGTGCTTCCACAAAGATCGTCTTTAAAGAGCCAATAAATTAAATTACTTATTTTCAAGAATTACCTTCAATGGCTGAATATCTCGGTTAACAGTCCAATAGTGTCCCTTTAGAATTCGTTCCATGCGTTTCCCATGAGCCTGTAGCAACATCATCGAGTTTTCGAGACGAGATCCTTGAGTCAGTGAGTTGAGGGCTTTGGTCCGCGAACGAGCACTCAAATCCTTCGTCATCGGCTTCTCGCTTGGTCGTTGAAACCCTAGGGACAGCTATTGGCTATCCGCAAACAATTTACCTCTGGAATCACAAAGATCATCGTCCACTTCCCAACCACGCTTCCCCATCCATTGCGCTTCATGTGCGAACGCCTTCGTCGATCTGAACAAATTGTACATTTCAGCTTTTCAAAGTCTCACCTCCATTTCTCCATTTTCATCAACAGGTTTTGCTCATCTCGTCGTCACCCCAGCCAGCTTCGCCGCTCCGCCCAACTCTTCGTCTCCATGCGACCACAGCAAATGCAGTGGTCGCGAGAATATTTCCGGCGGTCGGTTGAGGTGTAGATGGGCGGACTCCAAGTTGTGCGTCGACGGCCTTCGAGCGGTTGCCATTGAGAGGCCAGTTCTCCTTCAATCTGAAAAATGAAAATGTTAGCAACAGCAGCAGCAACAACAACTGAACAAACCTTGACAATTGGGAGGTGGAGGGACAAGCAAAGGGAACGTTCAGGATCAATTCGCGGTACGGAGCTGTCATCCTTTGCTTCCCACTCGGCCTTTAGATCCCTCGGCTTCATCCGCAGAAATCCATGGGTTTGCAGCATTATTAAGATAAGCAAGCGATGATTGTCCCAAGTTACGCAACACTAAATATTGGTTACGTGTAGAACAATCCTTCCATATACCTTTTGTTCGGCTGCTTTCCGTCACCGAGATAGGAGAGCCGTTGTGGGAATGACCATGGGCATCTTTTCTCAATTTCAGCAATGCGCATCATTTTTGAGAGCTTCCTCGAGTGTTTCCGTGGCACAAGGTAAGAAAGGCGAGGCGTTCCGAAACTCCCAGTTCTGTAAAGAAGTCAATAAATAATCCAAACAAAGCATGCAAACCTTTGACGGACTTCTTTCTAACAATCTGGTGGTTGCCATGCATCACGGCAGCTTCACCAAGAAGTGCTCCCCAGATTGGTTTTTCATCCATAACCTAGAATAAAGATAAATACAGCTAATGTCAAGGTGCGAACCTTTGCTGTTTCCAAAGCCACGTCAAGATTGCCACACTTAAGAGCCAAACCAAAGCGAGTCTTTTCGTCTTTCTGAAAGTGAATTTCCAATCTCAGGATACCCTAAACAAAAAGTTCTAAATTATCCTTATTTCCATTAAATGTTTTACCTTCTTTTTCCAAATAGCCAATGATTGGTGTCCAACAAGATTAGCAGATTTCACGGTGTTAAGCACTTCATCAATTCGGCGATTGATCAAAGCCAACTTGAAGCGGTATTCAGTTGCATCAATTGGAACTTCTACGGGTTGAGCTTCACTAAAATGAATGAGTTATTTTATTTTGTTTAACAAATTCGGGTACCAACCGATTGCAAGCAAAACAGGTTGAATTGTTTTTGGTGGCCAGAAGATAAAGTGGCACATCCAAAGTTCTCACGATTCCACTATCGCCAGCGACCAATGCATACCTGAATACACGTGTTTAGAGTGATAAAGCTAGGGCCAACTTGATGGTGATTAGCTTGTGGGTGTACCCGAAGCTTCGTTTCCACCCCAACATCCGCGTTTGCGACATGAACAGATTCGTCACAGTGTAGAGTACCTAAATAAGACTTTTAAATATTCTGAAGTTAAAGCTATGCCTCAAGGCGGCGATTGACGAGAATCACGGCAGACTTTGAAATCAAAGCGGCGTTTTCATTATTGGCTGACCAAACCACATATTTTACCGAAAGAAATCGCATACAAAAGGGATAGTTTTTTTTACATTACCTTATTTGCTTTGACATGAGCAATCACTCGTTTTTGCTGCACATCAAATAAATGGAGCCCTTCATCATTTCTAAAATTTTAACTTCGGCAACTTTGCAAAATAATTTATGTACTAAAAGCAAGCAGCAAATCAAATATTTACCCAAGTAGCAACAATCCGGTTCCAGCTAAAGGGTCATTGACTGCGAGTGTTGTGTTCAATCTTGCGAAGCGCCTTGTTTGTCAAATCGCGAAGAGAAATCTAAAAAATTCCGATTTGAAAATTGTACAAGCCAGCTACCTGTTGATTTTGTCCAATACAGCGACGTATCATATTTTAAAACCACCCAAACCCAGCAACTCCCACAGCGGATCGATTGGCCACAACTACATCATTTTCCTTCGCCTCCCAACTATTTGACAACTTTGTATACGTCGTAGATTTTTGTTCCGATTGTGTAGGCGTGTCGTAAGTAAAGCAACTTTCCCGCAGCATTGTAGTGAAGCGCATAGTAGGAGTTACATGAGCAGCCCCACCACGAAAGTTTCCCAAAAGCTTGATCTTTTCTACATAAAGTAATTGATGATTTAAAAAGACTCCAGAAGTACCCGGTGGCCTTCATATCTCGGCGATGTATTGTTTTATCACCAGGCGTACAGAAGACCAGATTGTCGGAGACACAATAAGGCGGCACTTTCACGTTCGAATCTTGAAAACAACAATTCCCGTTGTCGTGTCCAGCAGCAAACATGTTGAGATTCGGATGGGCCGACATCACCCAGAAACAACTCTTTCTTTTCATTAAAAGCTTAATTAAATACAAATTTCTAATAATCATCAGCCTGGATCCATGTAAATGGTCCTCTTTTGCATGTCCCAAACGCGAATACTTTTGTCTTCAGGTTCCGATCGATCAATTCAGCATTTTGGGTGGAACAAAGACCGAGGGAGACATTGGTAGCAGTGACCACGACGAAGCATCAACCTAAACGATTTATTTGGTTAAGACTATCACCACTTTTTGGTGGTACCTCCCAAGCCTTGCTTTCATTGTAACGCCATCTTTAACTTGACGATCGTCTGGGCAGAAGCCAGAATCGGTGATACCTTTGTGATGAGAGAGCAGCCAAGTTAACTCCTAAAGCAAATCAGTAAATTATACATCCTCCCCAGATCAACCTCGGTGTGCCCCTCAAGAACGTGGCAACAACAACATCAGGTTGTCCCAAAGATCCGGCTTGTCCAGCGGCAGCTCCAGTTTGGCCCTACACGCAGGCACTCCACCTGGGCATTTGCTTTTGCAAGTCCGAGATGTCCCAAATACGAAACCGTTTGATCAAGTAGAAGCGGAAGCGATGATCTTCACAAACGTGGAATTAGGCGCATCACATGTGGATTTATGTCACGTCAAGATGGCGATGCCCTGCCGACTTTTACCAATTCCCAATCCTCACCGTTTGATCATCTAAAATACAAAACGGTTTATGGGGATTTAGATGAAATATCTCACCTGAAGCAGAGATAATCCATGGATATTTGTGATGAAAATGTGGTTCGGGCTCTGGTTCAGATATGAGTCCCAAATGGCCAAGCAGGATGAAGAAACATAGCTTTTGTTTGTGGCGTTTCACACCTAAATAAATAGATAATGCCCAAACACGACATAGCAAATGTACCTTAATTTGTAAATAAAACTTCGCCACCGGAAACGAATATTGGTTGATCCGTGTGGAAACAAATCCCTCGAACGGGTCCATCGTGTTCATCCTATTTGAGCAGCACGCATTCAGTAGTCCACAGCTGGACAGTTCCAGTGTGCAGCAAGCGAGCACCGGAAGTCGGATGAAACGAGATTCCTAAATTAAAGTCTTATAAAGTGGAAATTCAAACTAATTAAGCGAAAACGCGTTTTTAAACTTTTTAAATCAATAGCTTGAAGATGTAGCGTTTATAAAGCGACTTCTTAACAACTACGAAATTGAGTGGTTTTAGCAAAAGCAAAACTGATCAAAAGTTGGCAAAACTCACCAAACATACCTTTCCCTCTAGCCGGCTTTGAGTTCGAATTTCACAAAGACTTTATCGCAGGCTCGTAAGGGTATCTAAAGGTAAATTGAAGAAATTGACCGAATAACAAGAACAACGAAAACGAGGGTAGTCAAAGAGGCGCCATAATTGAGCGCCAATCATTTCAGCGCAACGATTTGGCTCACGCTTATTTCAGCGCGCCACTCATTTGCAGGCGCCATTCCAAAATGACTGGAACAATGTTTGAGCGCGGAAATTAAAAGGCCTAAAACGTTCATTTAAGCGCCGGGCCAAAATGACTGGAAACGTTCATTTCAGCGCGACTAAATTTTAATATTTTTGCTTTCTACGCTGCTTTTGCATGTTTTAGGTTTGCTTCTGTTTTACCTTTTCGCTCTGTTTGACCTAGAGGAGCACGGTAGTAGGCATCAAATGCGCGAAAATTATTAGATTAGCTCGTATTTAAGGTTTTTTTATGAAAATGTAATAAATTTGCTGGTTATTTATGATATTTTCCCCAACCAGCCTGCTTTTTCGCATTTCTTGCCGTTTCGTTCTGATTTGCTTGGCGGATTAACATAGTTCTTTACTTAGGCTCGTGAACTGCGCAAGTGGCGAGACAAAAGGAACGCACTCTGAGTCAAAGTAACATTTTGTTCTTGATTTATTTTGGTTTATTTGCTGCAAAAATTATTTTATCTTTAGATGATTTAGATAAAACATACAGTAAAAACTTTGAGATCTGCGGCAAAAATAACATACGCTATACAGAATGGGCTGATTCGGCGCTGAAATGAATGTTTTTCCAGTCATTTTTTGGTGCGGCGCTGAAATGAATTGCGCTGAAATGAACGCGCTGGAAATAGTTGGCGCTGAAATGATTGGCGCTGAAATGGTGTGGCGCTCAATTTTTGGCGCTCATTTGACTACCTCCCGAAAACGATGATGCGTGTCAGGTCTAAACTCTATAACACGAAAGAGAGATAAATGCAAAATGTGGAATTGGCCTGCGGCCAACATACGCAACAGTACCCTCGTACATCCCCGTATAATGAATAAGAATGAAAACATGAAATTTCGCGCTACGCCAACCCAGGATTTTCTCTGAAAACGGTCGCAAGTGACCAAATGGCATGAGTCATGTTCTATTCGACGCGGAATGCTAGTAAAAGTTCCAAATTTTTTTGCGCCAAATGAATCGAGATATTAAGCTAGAAAAAGTAATATTAAGAGAGTAACTGGTGTGAAAAATCATTCCTTCGAAGTTTCGCCAACTGGACCCTTATCGCATTTAGGCTATTAGGCTTGCCTTTACTCTTTTCAACTTGTTTTATTCCCTCCTTTTCATATCTTATTCGCGTCATCAACGGCTTTTTTCAAAAGCAAGACCGGCTTTAACCACATTTCGACTTTTGACCTTTTAGAAAATAAAAACAACAGGGAGGGTTTTCAAATCCTTTGCCAATTCACGTGATAGGATTTGTGGTTTTAATTTTCGTCAGCATTTCTGATTTTTCTCTTTCTGTTTTCAATGAATTTATGGTCATTAATGTGTGGATTTTAGGTTGTGAGAATGCTGCCAGAAATTTGTTTCCTCAAGGATTTGGATTCTTTCACGGTTGAACCCAACTATCTGGATATCAATTTTGGAGCCAAACTTCTCCGTTTTGTTTATCCAACCCAGCGTGAGGATCGGAAGTTTTTCGTCAAACATTTGGGACAAATTCAACTTGCCGTACCGAATATGTTGCTTCAGGTCTGAGTTTTTTACGTTGTCAGTTTTTAGAATATGGTGTACTGGATTATATACAGTCGTCCCCCCCCCGCTTATACGTACCCCCTTATATGGAATGAAATTTTTGTTCCCGACGGAAGATACCCCCTGTAGATGAAATTTTTTTCTGACTCCTTTGAATTCCATATAAGGGGGGAACGACTGCACTTTGAGATTTGTCTAATTCATGACGTATATTCGGTTCACTAGAACTTTATACCAACTATATCTAAAGCTTCAGGCTCCACCATTCAATGATGCCAACCCAGCTTATCCTATGGATTTCTGTGTCGAGTATCATGATTTGGTTGTGTTTGCTGATTTTACTCACAGACTTGCAACCATCGCTGGCTTTAAGCAGGTATGATTCCGATTTTTAAAGGCGAAAGTTTGTCTTTTGTTTCTCTATAATTTAACTTGAATGAATTACTTCGTGATCGTTGTTGACTTAAACAAAAGAAAGAATCAAAGAAGCAAAGACGTACCAAGCTGAACTTTGTGTTATTATTTATATTTACTCTTCAATATGTTAAATTTTAGATGACGATTCCACCTGCTGAAGCAACCAGTGATTCATCATTTGAAGACGGTGATATTTCGTCGGAGGAATTCGACGATCACAAGTTGGTTGATGTATTTTGCATAACCTTAAACTTACTTAAATAAAATTAACATGCGACGTCCTCAGGGCGATGGCTCATAACGTCTATGTAAAAAATGGATAATAATAATTTTACAATTTGCGTTTAACATAACATTAACATAGGAAACTTCAATAAATGAGCTGTTCAGGTCTGAAAATCATATCATTATCAATCACGAGTTGAAGGTGGGTTGAATCTGGTTATTCTTTGGACGTATAAATTCTTTCATTTTATTTATTTGCCTTTGTTTTAATTGTAGTGAACTTTAATTAAGTTTTCTTTTCTCACTGTCATTAGGTTGACTTATTAAAGATCCAAATCTTTTGAGATTTATATAGACTGAAGTTTGATAAATAATATCAAATGTCCTTATTTCTGTGCTTTTTAGATGCAGTTTCACCTCGACCCTGCCCGTCCCAAAATCAAATTCATCGAAGGGTTGCCAATGGATTACACTTTCCACAACGGGGTTTTCGAAGTTCACCATCCGGAAAGCGGAAAGAATTTCCGCTTCCAGTATCCGGCAATTGGACAAAGATTCTTGGCCGTCAATCCTCAAAGATGCAACAGAGCGAAGCGGGTGGTCATTGTGGTGGCCAATCTGACTCTTCAAGTCGGTTTTTTTCGTTTCTAGATTTTTCATAATAATATTTTGGAATTAGACTGATTTTTTTTAGGTGGCCATGCCGAATGGCGGCGGCGGTGGCCCTGTACGGCGTGCTCGTGGTCGTCCTCCTGCCCAGCTTCAACAGTACGTTGATGTTTCGGAGGTTGATGTGCAGTTCGACCTGAAATCTACCGAGTATATTTTGCTATCTGCCCTAGAACGTCAGCATCAGTTTCAACGTGTATAGCAAGGCAACGATGGTGAGATGTTGTTCTGTTTCGATCTATATGGTTAGGTATTATTTAATTTCAAAGTTAAGACTAGAATAGATCAATTGTTAGTCACTTATGTTACCTAGTTCCGCTTAATTTTATTAATAGGTGTTAGATGTTGCTTTCATGATGTAGAAGAGTTAATTCTAGTTGAGACAGACGCTTAATTGGGCATGAAAGTAATAGGTATTTATTCATTTTAACTATTTTAGGATCTTCTTTCCGGCTCTTCAATAAGACTAAATAGAATCAATTTTTTTCATTTTCAATTATGGGTATTATGTAACGTGTTGTTTGGATTTATTTCATCATTGTCATTTCAGTCGAAAATAAAGCTTTATTAATAGCCAATAAAAGGCGAAATATAAAATACGAACAAAATACATGGAATGCACATCGATTGGTGATCGGTTGGATTGCCACAGTTTCTTCACGCCTTGTTACCTTGGGTCCTCTCCTCTTGTTACTTTCGAGGAATGCTTGCTTGATTTTGTTAGATGTGCAAGCTTTTTAATAGAATTCTTGAATTCTGCATTTGGTAAGACGACAGAAATTGAGCTCTGCGTTTCTGGCGGCCTATTGGGCATGTTGCACATTGATGTGGATCTTCTTGTTCACCTTCGCCGCGCTCCCGGTCAACTCAAGAACTGGGAAAGTTGGACATCGATATTCTAGTTTCTTGTCAGCATGATCTTCAGATGCCATGTCTACAATCTACCAGGATTTATAAGCGTCTAAGATTTTGTTAAAAAGGTGCACTAATGGACTGGGTTCGGAAAAAAAGGTCGCATTTGTCCCACTCCCAAAAGAGAACTTAAAATGAGATCAGAGGAACCTTTTATAGCCGTTTCATTGTGCAAAAGTTCGAAAGCTGATTTTAAATCCTTAAATTTAAAGCTCTGAATGAATTGAGATTAAAATGAATAAGATTAAAGTTGATTTACAGGTAGTCCTCTGCTCTGTTTCGCCGTTCTCTTATGCTCTTCCTCTACACGCCGAATATTGTTCTTTCACTAATCCCTCAATACATGTTATGTATTAATTTTATAAAAGTTTCCTTACTTGTCTTTGAGAATAGTAAATCATTTCTCTTTTACCTGTTTTCAATCTTTATACTGTAGTTTTCGTTACTCTTCTCGTTAAACAAAGAAATTTTGTCTTTCTGAAATTAATTTTCACTTGCAATTCAATTATTTGTTGTTTTTTATTAGTTTAGCAATAATGAAATGTCGGTTTTGCTTTGGAATCTTATTTAGAAACGATGCAACCTTCAATCAGAATACAGTTTGTAATTGGAAAGATCATTGGAACCTTTTACCATTGAAAAGATCATTAAACCTTTTACCATTGAAAAGATCAAATTCTTTTCCACAAAATGAACTATTAGATACTCTGGAAAACTTTTGTTTTGTTCCTTTTCAGAGAACTGAGGAAAATCACGTCTAAAATGGTCAAAACCACTTTTTTGTTAATACAACTTTTGAGAATTAGGTGTTTGAAAAGAACAAAAATAAGACCAACACAAAATTAAACGAGAAAAACAAGGTAATGAAGGATTGAAAGGCATGGCATATTCATTGCAAAGAAAAATGAAGCAAAGTCGGAATAACCGATTGATGCAACTTGCCAGAAGGCAAAAGTTGTTCATAATTATCTAGAAAATGAATAAACTATTCAAAAACTAAGAAAATTAAAAGATTTGCCAAGAAAAATACGCTCAGAAGGCGACCAATTTGAGCGTTCCGTTTGTGCATCAAAAACTACAGTACCCAGAAAGATAAATTACTTATCTTGGAGAGTTTGATCTGGGCTTTCAAAATATATATAACACTTGTATTTTCAAATAAAATTGAATGTTAAATTACGCTTCAAAGTTTAGTTATAAGTCTGGAGAAACTCTGGAAGCTATGGACAACTCTAACCGCTCAAAAAATTCCAAAATCGAATCAGATCGGTCGTGGTGAAGGAGAGGGTGTAAGCCCTTATAAGATTTCACTATTGGATTCATCAAAATGTCCGATAGGCATCAAAATCTGTTACGAACATTTTCCGGCATTCCCTTGTAAATCCTAGGAGTTTTTATGCGTTCTTAAGAAATTCTTTCTACCAAATTGTGAGATTGTTTTTCTCCTTCTAATCTCCTTCAGATTTCTTCAACTTTTTCTCCTTAATCGCTTTTCACTTCTAATTTTGAATACTAACCTTTGCGAATAAACATGTAAAGCTAAAAGCCTTTCAGCTGCTAAGCCATTCACAATTTATTTGACTGAATTTGCTTGTAGTCAAAATAATTTTATTCTATTTCACAATTTCTATACACAAAAAAATCCCTTTACTGTTTGTAGCTTCATTTTTTAAAAATACTTTGATGCAAAACGATTTACTTATCAAAATCAAAAGTTTTTTTCTGGTTTTTTGTCTAAAAAGGATTTCTGTTGAGTAATTTTGTCTCAAGTTTGATGCCGATGCCTGATTTCACTTTTTGGCTATCTAATCAGGAAGTTTTTAGGTACAGAAAAGGCGCGGATCAATGCTTAGAAATGATGAGATGAAAAGATAAGAAGCAGACATTATTTCGCTTCTATTTTTCAACATGAAAACTCGGATTTTCTTTACATTTCTTGTCTCCTCTTGTTTTTCATGTCCACATAGTTGGTATGAGTTCCCGAGTGATGATGTTTGTGTTTATATCATAAAGAAATGTGAGTTATGAACTCATAAGGAGGAAAAGGCTTCTTTTTTCATCAAATAAATACACTATATCTGGGATTATTTCATAAAAATTGCCAATAGTGTTGCGCTTAATGCCTTTTTTTTACTTTTTAAGACAATACATTAATCTAAGCTGAAAAACAAGCATAGATCATGAAATCTAGACGTAATTTTACATAGAAAAGAAGAAGCGTAACATTTTTTTAAAGGGGAATGCCACAAAATGGCCGTAACAGATTTTGACGTCGTTGAGATGCAAACGCCTATCGGACACGGCGAATCCGATTCTGTATTCAGTTTTTTTTGCCCATCTTTTAAAAACATACGAGAAAAACGTGTCCAAAGTTTGGGTGTCTACTCGGGAAATCGTGCCCGATGGTTTATAAAGCCTCTTTTCCGCTTCTGAAAACAGAAAGTAGGCAATTAAGCTTTAGTAGGTTATTAGTGATAGTAATCCCTTTAAGAACTAGAGGATTTTCGTCACTTTTGCAGAAGAAAACAATCTGAAGCCGGGCCCAAGACTTGACTTCTTGCTTGCTTTAGTTTTAGCTCTAACAAGATGGCCATAGCAGATTTTGATGCAAACGCCTATCGACACAGGGAATCTGATGCTGTATTCAGTGTATTCAGTATTTAGTTTTTCCCGAGTTTGGCGGCTAAAAACCAGCGGCTAAAAAAGAAAAAGAAGATAGCTACGCCGACTTATCATTACGCCACCTGGTCAAGTCTGAGGCCGAAAAAGAGCTTTTGTAAACCAAAGCACGATTTCCCGAGTAGACACGCAAACTTTGGACACGTTTTTCTCGCATGTTTTTAAATATGGGCAAAAAACTGAATACAGCATCGGTTTCCCCGTGTCCGATAGGCGTTTGCATCTCAACGACGTCAAAATCTGTTACGGCCATTTTGTGATAACCCTAGCCAAGCAGTATAAAAAATGCTAGGTGGTACGATGCTGTAAAACACTAAAATTCGAATTTAGGGTCTCTAAAAACGTCTTTTTACGTCTTTTTCTACATTAAAACGTTTTTAGAGTTATTTACGATAAAAATAAGTGATTTTTGAGCTTTATTATTTCAAATGCGAGCTTATCTTCGTTAAGAAAAATGGACAAATCTCATTTTTCATTTTTTCAGACCAACAATCACGTTTAATGTCTTATATAAAATGAATGAAGTTTTAAAATGTTTACATTTCCATGAATTTAGTGGAAAATGCTCGTAGATTTTAAATATCTAGACGAAAAAAACCGTCAACTCTTTTGGTTTTTAAGAAAAAGATACTTTTTTTTAAAGCGCAACACTATGGGACATCCTGTATTTTTCTGAAATTGATTTTAAGCTTTATAAAATCATTTTAAACAAGTGAATTTCATAGAAAATTTATAGAAAAGCAATTTAAGCTCAAAACTATACGGCTACCGTCAACACTTGTGCTCAACTAAATAGTTCTGTCGTGAAAATCACGAACATCTTTGAGAATGCTTATCTCGGAGCTTTGCTTTCAAGTAAACGAATCGATTTTCCTTCTAAAATTCTTTACAATTCTTTTCTTTAGAGTTAAATGATGAGTTTCCATTTATTGGTGTTGAGCGGAAATCTAATGGAACTTGGGTCTATCAAGATGGAAATCCACTTATCTACACAAATTGGGCTCCAGGTTGTTTTTCTTAAAAAAGCTAAAAAAAAAATTTTCTAGGTGAACCAAGTTTAAATTCCTCGTTGAATCGCGTATATCTTGGTGAACCGAATCTTCAATGGTATGCTACAGATTGTTCCACTCAGAGACCATCATTTTGTTCTGCAAAAGAAATGCCCAGTAAGGGGTTTTTCAGCTTTCTTGCTTTATCTGATGAGTATCAATTAGACATGGCTAACGAGAGTTAACTAGAAAACCTCATAGAATTTCAGATTAGATTTTCTAGATAGATTTTCTAAAATCCCTGAATGAAAGGTTTATTTTATTGAAAAGCTGATGTTTTTAGCTTTCATTTGATATCAAATATTCATCCACAACTTAAGAAAATCCATTGAAAGCTTTGTCAAAGCTTTGGCATATGGTTTGTCTCGATCAGAGAGATATACCAAAGCTTTGACAAGATTTTCCAAGTGATTTCCTTAAGTTATTGATGAATATTTGGTATCAAATGAAAGCTAAAAACACCAGCTTTCCAATACAACTAAATTCAGGGATTTTAGAAGACTCTATGTCTAGTTAAGTCTCGTTAACTCTCGTTATCTCGTTAGCCATGTCTAGCATAAATCGTATTATCTATCATTTTATGTTTAGAAATTGAAAAAGAAACTAAAATTCCATTCAATTAAAGGGGATAAAATTTAAGATGATTTTTTCTAAAAAATTTTACGCCAAAAACCCTCTAAAGAGTTTTTATTTTATTTATTGTGACTCAGAATATTCAAAAGTGAATGAGCACAATCGATTTCATCGAGTTTATCCGCATGAAATCGATTTCATACAGATTATCCACATGAAATCGGTCTGTCATCTGTTCAGAGGTGATCGATGTATTGGGCAAGCAAGAAACTCTGTGCCCAGATTTGAATTGAAATTTCTTAAAAACAAATCCACCAATCCAAGAGCATTTTGTTCGATTATTTACAAGTCGATTTCAAGAAATTATTTGTAAAAAAATGAGTATAGCTTTCTCGTAAAATTTTAGAGATTTATCAAAAAGTATTCTTTGCTATGGCTTTCTTTTTGAGAAATGTGGAATAGAGGGTAAAAAGGTAAAAAAAACGGGAAAAAGGAATTGATTCTTGCTTGCCTAATCTATCGATCACCTCTGAACAGATGACAGACGTCTGCATAAGAAAGTCTTTTTTTTCGAGAACAGATCTTAAATCTTTTTAGTATAACAGATTTCTAGATCATGAATGCCTTGATGGATGGATCTACTCAAACGAAACGGACTATTGCTACTATTTAGAAGTGATCGATTCGAATTGATTTTTTTCAATAAATCTTAGAATTTTACATATCCCGACAATATTCATTGGGCATTCTACGATCACTCGGAAGCGGAAGCGAACTGTCAAAGGAAGGACATTGATTCCCATTTAGTGTCAATTCATTCCGATGCCGAGAACAAGTTTGTCTATGGTTAGTTTATCCGAAAAAGAAACGAAATAAAGGACCGTAAATCCTCTAAAAAGTGTTGCCCATTTACCTAAGAGAAAAAAGGTTTCACTAAATTGTGAATTTTTAACTAAAAGTTTTGAAGCTTTGTCAGAACTTGCCGAATGGCCGAATTTTTTTGTTGTCTGCTTTTGATGTTTGAGATTTTATTTTCTTTTGTTTAACTTGTCGTATTGTTTATATTTTCTTTAATGATTTCTTGTGATAGGTATCATGAAAATCTCGGTGTATCGACAAGCAATTGTTCGTTGGAAAAAAATGTTTGTCTTCAAATCAAAAAGCTAGGCACTAACAATTCTGATGTCCAACTAAGAGAAAAAACGTAAAAAGAATTGATTTCGACTTGCCAATTTTTTGTTTGATAAGCCAAGAAATTTTGTCTTTTGACTTAATCAATTCTCCTCAGATACCCCAAATGCAATTATTCAAATTCCACTTTCCTAGACCAATTTTTTGTGTAGCTTCATAATAATAATAAAATAAATAAATTCAAATAATAAAATCCGAACAGGCTGCGAATTTTGCATTTTCTTCTCTTACTTTCAAGAGGAAGCCCCAATCTTTTTGATCGATTTTGGTAGTTCGGAGTTAAAATTTCCTCGTCATGGTTATCCTAGTTCATGAGCCGGGCTATTTAGATCGTCAGTATTCTGAATCGAAGACTACAGAGTACCGTGTAATAGAGTTCCTTTGTGGCCCTGTCTTCAGAGCAGCTATCGGCCAGAGGGCTGGGAAATGACTCAAAAATCTATTAGCTCATGTAGTATTTTTGAGTCATTTTCCAACCCTACAGCACTTAATTGAAAGCTTTTATGCAGAAAACAAATTTTAAAAAGGGCTGCTACGTAGGAGTACGCAATGCTACTCTTTACCCGGTCTTCTATTCGAAGAAATACGGTATTTAGAGTCTTGTCTTTTCATTTTAAGTTTTCATTTTAATTGTTTTCATTCTGATTCTAATTCTTTCAATTCCAATTGTTTTCACTAAATCTAATTCTTTTTATTTACAGGTAGAACGACGCCAAGCAAAATGCCGTTTGAAATGCGAAAGCTGACGTCATTTCCAATGGAGAACCTATGCTACGACCTAAAACTGGAGGTTTTGGAGAAAATGGAAACGAAAGATGCGCTTGAATTGGTCAAGGTAAATGCAGGATTTCGATCGATCCTGCTCCGGACACCCTGGATAGCTTTTGGACATCACGTGGTCTATTTCGAATTTATTGATGGAGTGATCCGAATAGTGAAATTCCCCACCTCATCTCCCGTCCAACTTGATGCCGATCTCCATCTTCCATTGATGAAACGAATCCACTCGTGTGACGCATTATGGGTAGTGGTAGAGCACAACCCATGCAACAAACCATTCAGTCACGAACACGTGAAGATTCTGAATCAATTGAACTCTGTGAAACGTTTGGTACTCTTGGTGGACATAAACGAGAGTTTGCTGAAATTTCTTGAGAATTTCCGCTCGATGATTGAAGAATCCGCGTACATTGACGTGAAGATTGATTTGTTCAAAGAAAATCAAGTGATCAGCGAGCTTTTTAAGAATTTCATTGCAAACCAGATGACCGACTGCGAAGAAGTCAAGTTTTCTTGCGATTCCGGTTCTGCGTTTCATTTCTACCACGCTGCTTTCGCCAAGGTTTCGATAAAATTTTTGAAAATGTCTGATGACTATGATGAAACCTGGGATGAATTTGAAGAGATCGTGCAATCAATCGTTAAAAAGGGGATCCCAAGCCAAAATTTGAAGGCGGCTTTTTATGGGAATACCACCTATTCTCAGGAGATGAATGCACGGCTCGTCGATTTCCTTTCGCAATTCCCTGGAATGAAGCGACTCGATGGAGAAAATCAGCAAGAAGTCACCAAAATCGCGACGGAACTCTTTGAAAAGCGTGGCGTATATTGGGCTGATGGCACGGAACGTCTATTTGTTCGACGAAACATTGACTCGAGCAGGGATTGTGTTTACATGCTTTTATCGGACAGTGGAGACGATTTTTGGAAATGGACACGATTTTTCGCCTTCTACGTTCAAGCGCAATCTGAAAGGATGGAGTTTTGATAGTTTTTATCGTTTTTTTCGTGAAGGTGATTCCTGAATCCTTTGCTCCCTTTTGCTTTCTTCCATAATCCAAACTGATCGCTAATCGGCTTTTTGCCTATCCTGGAATGCATTTTTGTGGTTTACAAGTTCAAAAATCCGCTTATTTATTTTTAAAAGTTTACCTTTCCTCTGACTACCGTGATCTTTCCTATTTTTCATCGAATCCATCTATTTTCGATATCCCCTGTGCAAGCGGGGCAGAAGTTGACAAAATGAATAGATCGTTTTTATTTTGTTTTCCTTTTCAATTGTTGCTTCTTTTTGTGTAATTTGTCGTTCGGGTTTTCATGAAAATTTCAATCATCATTTATTTCGGTCAAAAAATAAACCTTTATAAATATTTTCTTTATGAATATTTTTCAAATAGATTTCCCAAAGTTCGTACTTTTTTTGAAGAAAGGACTGTAATTGAGATTGAAGTTGGAGAAAAGGAATTCGGAAATCATTTCTCGAACGTTGTGGCTGTGTATTCTCTAACTTCTCCGTTTCTCCACCAAAGTCTTGTTCTCTCCCCTCGTTGAGTTGTCTTATTTGTGCTGCCGACAGGAGCCCCCTTTTGATTTATTTAGGATGAACGTTTCACCCTCGTTTCCACTTTTTTCTTTTTCATCTTCCGGATGCTTCCTGATTATGCTCAAACGATTGTCTTGAAGTTAATATGGCATTCAAATCTTTTGTGAGTTTACTTTTTGATATAATTTTTATGAGCAATACATTTTAGCAATGGTTCTTTAACGGAAAGCTCAGGGACATTTATCCATTCTTCAACAATGCGAAATTATCGAAAAGAATCACCATAAAATTGTTGTACAGGTGAGTTAGTCCTAGAGTAAAGAAAAAAAATCGTGTTTAGCCACACTTTCGTGAAGCTTACCTGAAAGCTTCTGTTTTGGGTGCTTTTAGATATTCCGGTTTGAGGTAATTTTACGATTAAAATGAAACTTTATCAATTTTAGAATGGTTCCCGAAGGCGACGAGAAGAAAGCAAAGAAAGATATAAATAAAAACAGCACAGAACGATGGGAATTGGTTCTAAGGTGAGTTTGTACTTGGTTGTTGGGAGCTTGTTTCACTTACCTTTTTAGATACCTGGCCATGCCACTGGACCAAAATCTATCCAACATTTCAACGACGACGAGGCAACTCTGTGATGCTGCAGGTTGTAAAACTATTTTGCTTACAATTGCTTTTTTAGGTTTCACAGCTTCATCTGATGGTTCACCAGAGCTAACTTTGAGCGGGTTTCAATTTCTCTTGCTGAGCCCGGTTCAACAAATGTGGACATGTGTGATAGGTTAATTGAAAATAGTAATTTCTAGCTTTAAATGATAACTTTTTAATCTTAAAAACCTTTACGACAAGTTTAGAATATCTGAAGCTGGAGAAGGCTAGGGAGCGCAAAGTGGTTGCAGTTTTGGATTCGCATTCTTTTGTGAGTTAACTTTTAAAATTTAAAATATCAAAACTGAAGGTTAAAGTGGGAACTTCTAGATTGAAATACTTTGAATACATACTTTGCTTAGATGTGCTGATTCAAAGGTGACTCGGAAATGGGATATCGGCCTTATCATTTCGAAGAAACGTGGAGTGAGCGACAAAACGAATTGATCTTGCATTTGAGAGAGCTCGAATTGCTCTACATTCGGAAACGAAAAGATGGGTAGGTTTGAAAAGTGTTACGTTCACGGAAAAACTTGCAGAAGTACGGTGTACGGTACGTACTTGTGACTATGCTGTATGACGAAACAAGTTCTAATTTAGACACTTCTTCTTGACACCGTCGCTCTCTTTTTCAAGAAGTGACTGAGCTTTTGCCTTGAGAAGTTCTTTCTGTTCTTCCGCAACAGCTCGTTGTTTCTTCTCAACTGCAAGTGATTCAGCTAGTTGATCGTCTTGTTTTTCCTCTTTCCACGATTCACCCCAACCATTACAGCCATTACTTTATTAATCAAATCCTCGAATCGATGCTTTAAAATATTCTATCTCATCAATCATTCCGGGACAGAGAAAGAAGGCGATGGTTGAAAATTCTCTGCGGTATCTCGCGGTGTTGGGACAGGAGTTGCGTACCATAATCTTACAAAATTTCAACTGTTAGACTGATTTTGGATCAGCTCTAGTTTAGTGCAAAATAAAAAATTACTGGATTACGGTAGAAAAGGCGATCTTTCGAAACTTTAGTTCAAAGTAGAAAAACCGTCCTTTCTATTTAGCCCTAACTTTTTAGAGTACTGTAGGGATATGAAAATTCCCGTTTGCGGTACTGTAGATTTACCTTTTTAGCTGGATTCTTTACACATTTCTTACTGTAGTTCTACCATAATCGTTTCTACTGCAGTTTCTACCGTAGTCGTTTTCTATTTTTTTTCACCAATAGTAAGTTGTCTCAGGATAAAAGTATACGGTAACTGATGCAAATTTCAACTCCACCACCAACGCTAACAGTTAAAATTTTGTCCTTTCATTTTTCTGATATCCTCATCTAGTTAGGTTCCTCCATAAGTACAAGTCGAAAGTGAGTGGATTTAGACGGAAATTTCGGAAAATACGGCGGAAGGAGTGCAATTTCCAAAGGTAACCCCATCCACCCACGATCTAGGACACATACCGGTTTACTCTCAGTACACCCTTTCCTCCAGTTTTTTAAAAGCTATTTAGTTGTGCAAACTCTTGTTAATGTTCGATAACACTCAGCTTTTCCATTTCCACGTTGAGTTCAAAAATATGGTCCTCTGAAAAATAAACGTGTTCGTCTTTGCCCAAAAAGAATTCGTTGTGGTTGGGACAAAATAGCTTTTCACACAAAAACCCTAAACCACAACAATTTGGCCGGGCAAAACGTTTTATCTTGATCTCCGCCGAATTTTCTTTTCTTCCCTTTTTGGGGCTTCTCTTTGGGTGCCCTCCTAAGCCGCGATTCTCCCCACCATTACGGTCTTATATTAAAACAGCAAACAATTTTTTTCCCTTTTACACAATCTAGTTTTTACAAAAATGACGTTGATGCTTCTATTTAATCATATTGGGTTCTGGAATTTTTAAATTGCATTTTGCTGTTGCTCGAATAAAAAGCGTGTTGCATCATATTCAAACCAAAAATTGAACTTCTTTGATTATATGCCCCTGGAATTTGCAGTAGTTTTCTGGCAAATAAATACTTTTAAATTTATTCTTCTTGCACTGAAACACAAAAATGTTGGACAAAAATCATATTCATTAATGAGTTTATTCTACAAACCTCATAATTTTAGAAAAGTATAACAAGAATAAAATCAATCAATAACGAGAAAGACCACAAAAATTACTTTATGCCCAAAATTTCGACGTCGAAGATGAGGGTGCTGTCTCCAGGGATACTGTCACCAACTCCCTTTGCTCCGTATCCGAGATCGGGCGATATCGTAAGGATGGCACGTTGTCTAAATAGATATCATTAACATCAACAAATGCTACCTTTCGTATATGTATGTATTTATAAACATTTAGATATCTTATTCTTTAAGATTTGACCCCCAGAAAGATAAATATATTTTATGCTTTTAAAGTGTCCCCTTCCGCTAAGCGAATAAATTTCAACGTGGGGATGTATAGGGCATTATAAAAACTGCGAAGTCAATGTCAAAGTATCAACTATTCACCCACTTGAAGTCCCCGAGAATCGAAATTACAAAATAGAAATCATTAGAAATGATTGACATGAAGTATGCCTCATTTAGCTAATTTAATGGGTGCTGATAATAATCGAAAATAATCACCCGAGGCTCATCTTGGCGACTCCTTGGTCCCAGCCTTTAATCACCTCTCCTCTTCCAATCATGAACTCGAATGGCTTTCCGTGGTCTCGAGAGCTGTCCACCTAAAATAAGAAAAGTGAAACTGCAATCTTCACAAGATCTTCGGTTCAACAACTAGGGCTCATGTTCTCTATCGATTCATCGAGTTTATCAACCATGACAGGTTACAATAACTTTTGGACTAGTCGCTACTACCAACAAGCTAGCTCCAGTGTAAAAAGACATTTTTATGCTACGAAACTTTGCTTATCAACAAAAGCCCTTACTTGCTTTCCATTTTCGAGGGTGAGGACGTAGTGGCAGGTGACTCGTTGCCTGTTTTGGGGGAAGGTCTTGCCATCTCCCGGCTTGATAGTCTCAATATCGATGGGCATCTTTCTAAAATCAATAAATTAAAAAGGGAAAGGTGAAAGTTAGTAAAAAGTCAAAAAGTAAATAAAGCCAAAGTAAAATATTAGTAATCAGTAAACAACTCGTTTCTCGAACGATTAGTTTTATATCTGGCGGCAGAAACTGGTCCTTTCACGAAAAGGCGAGCGGCACGATTTCAAAAGCATTAAAGCCCAACAACTTTCAGATTATTTTCTTGTTTACGGGGTGAAACGCGTCGAAATCCCTAGATACGAGAAGTGGGGCAAGAAAGAAAAGGTTCTAACAATAAGTTCTGATGAAGCACTTTATGAAAAAGAAATTTTTAGAAAAGACAGCTTTCCAAACGTTACAAAATAAAAATAGTCAGTTCGTTAACTGAATATCTTTGCCTGGTTTTTTCCTCATTAAACCTCAAACGTCACAAAAATTTTCCGCTTTCAAATTCACTTTTTCTCTACGTTGTATTTTTTATTTTCCTTTTTGACATGGTCTAACGTTGTAAATTTCAGGTAACAACTACACAAAAATGGCGATGGGCCGATGATGGAGTGATCGACCAAATAGAGGAGAATAGCAACAAGAAAACGACGTATTTTGTCATCGATGGCTCGAGGAGAATATTTGAGGACGATACATACGGTGAACCCTATGGGAAGGACGTAGGGACGAAGGACCTTTTCCCGTACACCCCAAGACGGGCTTACCAATCAAATCAGTGACTACTTACAAAGCTGAGAATGATGAACAGGAAGAGGAACAAAAAGATGGTGCTTTTGAATTGAGGAACTTCTTTTGAAGTTACTAAATTAGGAATTTGAACTTGTACCCGGAAACTGGCTCATCTGGACAAAGTCTTGGAAAAGTTTAAAACTTCAGCTCACCATTGATTCTAACCTGAAGTGTGCTCACCTCAAGTGACATTTTTCTAGCTCAGAATTTCGAGACTACTAATTTCCGCAGCTGGCTCGTAGACGGACTCGCGTTGTTCAATGCTCAGAGAATAATCGGGAGTGGGCAATTCTTCCGACATCCACAATAATAACAACGTAGCATGCAAATTGACCTTATTGCATGCCAACATAAACGAAAACAAATGGGCATACATATTTGAAATGTTTCTGAGCCGGCAATGAAGTCGAAATTTTCAGGCTGGAGCGAATGCAGAGGCGATGGGGATGCCTAAAAAAAGTAATAAACATATGATGACAACAAGAGGACACAAAAATAAAATTAATACAAATTACTATTAATACAAATTAGCTTTACGACACATAATTTCAATGTGATTTGAGAAATTGAAAGATGGGGAAATATGGACTCGAAGATCGCTGATGAATCCTCTTTGCCAACTCTGTTTAATGCTGTAGAATTGATTTTCAAAGGGAGAAAATAGCATTTTCGTTGGGAAAATGATGGAATTTCGTGTTGAAGCTAAAAATAAAGCTAGTTTCCAATTACGGGACCATTTTCCAACCAGATCAAGATCTGGCATGGCGACTCTTAAAGAAGCAAGCTTAGGGGCTTCATCTTTAATGAGGATTTTAAAAGTTAGTTTAGCATGATCATCATAAAGCCAAATAGATGAGTATCATTTTCCCGCCTTTGATTTGATTCACAAGAATCGTTGGTGGCACATTTAAAAGAAATTAGTAAATAAGCGGTGCAAGAGTCACAGTATCGAACTTTGTATCGTGACTCTCCAAAATAAGAACTCAATTCGCAATAATAGCTAACAAGTCCACTTTTGGAGATGTTGCCTTCGAAAAAGAATAAGAAAACGACCGTATCCTTATTTTTTTATACCCAAATTTGTGAATTTCATAAATTTACACTCAACTTTATTTCAATTTTCGCTCAATGCATCTCGAAAGTTAACCCCACAAGGCATTCGCATTAGTATTTATGAGGTATAACGGTACAGTATCCTTTTATGCTTTCAATTTCAATTTAATACGAGTTGCTCACTTTCAATTTCAATTTTTGAATAGTTTCGTATTTTCTGGCAAAGATTTGGTGGAACGCGTGCATGGTGGAACCGCCCAATTTCATTGACAGTTCATTGACAGTTCATTGACAGTTCATTGACAGTTCATTGACAGTTTAATCGAGATCTTCTGTGAGCACAAAGATTTTTGAGCGGAAAAAGAAATCGTTTTCCACCCCGTTATTGCATGTGATCGTGGATGAAAATTTTGTGCAAGGTCACCAGCGATGATGCAGAGTAAAGTGTAGAGATGGGAATGATGAGTGAAGAATGACCGGAACTTGAAACTGAATTCATACTGTAACCCATTGTCCAAGATTACTCTGCCAACTAAAACTTATTGTTAGCAAGTTCTAAGAATACTAGCCATAAATTACCCTATTTGGATGGATTACTGTAGTCTGAGCGTGCTGTAGTTTTCAATAGTTGAGGGATTTTCTGATAGATGCTTATTAGAGTCTGTGATTCATGATACAATCTCCTTTAAAACTCTTTGTTCATTTGTACTACGATATCTTTTAATTACAATAGAATAAACCTTTTCAGTTTCCCCATATCAGAAATGTCTGTCTATTCTCGGAAGAAAGATTCGGCGTGTGTCCTTTCCAACCCGCAAACCTACATCGACGCCTGAGGTAACTGTTCCTTCGCAAACGCTATTGATCAAATTCAGTTACAACATCCTGCCGATTCATCACTACCTCAATCAAATCAAACCAAGTTGTCACCTAGATACGAAAATAGATTATCCAACTTTCAGGAGCTCATCAACTCCCCTCCTGAGATCTCATATCAGCCATTCTATTCCCAGAAAACACAACGTGACAAGGTAATTTAGGTTGAATTTCTTGAAAAGAAATCATCTTTAGAAAGCTTCTTTGGTGATATTCGATAAAGACGGCACGTTGATATGTTTTCATTCGATGTGGGTTCCGTGGACATTGCAAACAGTTCGTAAAATCGAGGAGCTTGCAAAGGTTTGTTATCGATTTTACCCAATTAAAATTCCTTTCAGATCGGTTCTCTGTCCGAAAAAGTGTATCGACTACTAGGATATTGTCCAATAGAGATGAAGGTAAACATGAAAAAACATGGAAGGAAATTTCAATCCGAATAGGTCCGACCGGGCCTTCTCGCCGAAGGGACAATGCTCCAAATAAGAGAAGAAATCACAAAACTTTTGATAGAACAAGGACTTCGGAAAGATCAAGTAAGAACTCAATGGACTCTCGATTTCAACTCAGAACTCATAGGCTCAAGAAATCGTATCCACCTCAGTTTTGGATTGTCCCACACATTCGCGAAAATCTCTAAAACCCATTCACGATTTGAGGGAACTATTTTCAGCGCTGAAAAGCCACAATGTGAAGATTGCGATTTGTACGGCTGACAATAGGTATTGTGAATTGATAAAAACTGAGAATGAATTGACATTGAAAATCGTCAGGCTTGGTACGATGGTCATGCTTCGAGAGTTCGGAGTTGAAACCTTAGTTGACGTGGTCGTTTTTGGAGATGATTATGGAGCCCAGCCAAAAGCCAATCCTTACAATGATTTGATGATTTGCAAAGTGCTCGGAATAGCACCAGAGGTTGAAATAAATGGTTATGTAGATCTATAAAAATTTCAGGATACGTTAATGGTGGGAGACACGCTAGCAGATATGGGAATGGGAAGGTCGGCCAAATTAAGAGGAACTGTCGGAGTACTTTCTGGAGTCGCCGGGAAAGAAGAGCTTAAACCGTTGGCCGATCACTTGGTAAGAAAAAAAGTACCTGCCCTAACTCACATAACAACAAAATATAGGTCTCAAATGTTGGCGAACTTATGCCGATCGTCCTTGGATCATCATCTTGTTGATAAATCCCTGCGAATTGTAAACTACAACACTTTCCAGGCAAAAATTGCATCCTTAAAGCCAAAACCATTTTAATAAATTTATTTCATCGACACAACCAAAATACCTAAACAAAGTTGCTTAACTAACAGTCTCAAAAAAACACATGTTTATAATTTGAAAGCATAAATTGAGCACTCGAGTTTGAACAACCTAGAGAAAAACTTTCTCTTCTGAAATATCAAATGTAAGAGAAGAAGATTTATTGTACCGGATATTCCTCCGTTCGGCCATCTGCTTCATAAAAGATTTCCACAGGCTCGACACTAAACTTTCACTTTGAATCGCGAGGCTTTGCGTAAAGTGCTTAATGCATTAAAGAAACGTAAAGATAAAACAGACGTGAATTCGTTCTTGCAGTATTGACTGAACATGATGACAATCGTATCCAAAACGATTGTTGCCTTTTGCAAATCGGTGGCCGTCACTTCGATAAACACATTTTTGGTATTCAGCGATATTTTTGAGTGATTGCCTAAATCCACAAATTAGAGTCTTAAAACATAACTCACTATTTATGATTGGTGGAAGGGAGCAAAGTACACCATTGCTGTCACGAATCACAGGGTAGAGTTCTTTGTCTTTGATGATTGGCACATAAGGCTTTAAGTGAGCATATTCCGGTTTTGTCTAAAATATCAAAATTTTAAAATAAATTGTAGGTACAAACCTCATAAGCAGTAAGCAACTCATCAGCCAAATATTGTCTGGTTTGATTAAGTGGGGCAAGTTGAATGTCCTTTGGCTTCTCCGCATTGTAGAAGAAAGGCCCTAAAAAAGGTAAGAACGTGTCTTTGGGTCAAAACAATACCCTTAATGGTGTCATAGTCATGGGTGCCCATCGAGGCCAGAGTACGTTTACGGCAGATGTTTTGATGGAGTTTATCCTAAAATTACAATATAAAAACAGAGTTACTAAAAAGTAAAGCAATTCGGTTAAACGCAAACCTGGAGATGAAAGAAGCATAGGAGTCCTCATTAAATGAAATATCACGCAGAATAGCTCCAACAACAAAAGGCCTAACGCCTTCGACCTGAATGAAAAATATATCCTACATATAAATATGTTTACTTCTTTTCTGATAACAATCCGTTCCAACTCGGGCTTTCTCTCAACAGCATATCGTGGCTGTTTGCCGCTAAATAGGTCATATTTTAAAAGATAAAGTAAGCGTTTATAATTCTAATGTGAAAAGCTACTTACCCAGTGAAGACATTCATTGCTCTCGACAACCCCTCAATACATAGCAAGTCGTAGCGGTTGGCTGGGATTTCGATCTTGTAGATTTCTTCCGAGCTCAAATTGGCGGCGGCAACACTCCCTCTTTCCTTTTCAACGGCAGCTTTTTCAGAAGTCTAAAGCAGTTTAATTACAAGAATCTTCCAATAAAAAGCTACCACTTCATCGAGCTCCAATCCAAACTCGAAACATAACGTCTCGAATTCTTCCTGATCTGGAACAAAAGCGGAAACACCGACCACGAATCCTTCGACAGCCGCGAAAATCTACGAATCTAAGATTCTTTGCTGATCCCTGAAAGACTTGGATTTGCCATAAATTTCCATCAATCTAGTTGCAGTTGGGCATAAATTTGGCAGTAAAGGTCTACGCCCTAGTACCTAATCTGATACTAGTTTCAGATACAGTAATCCCAATTGGATACTGTCATTGGCAGAACTATTAGAGTTGGCTTAGGCTTAGGCTTAATAAGTTCATTTCCTTCTTGGTTGAAAGTTTGAAATTAGATTTTCTCGCTCACAATACACTTTTATATGTTGTCATGCTTGTTCTTTAAGTGCTAGTTACATGTTGTTCTTTAGATGGTTAACGTCACCTTCAAAACGATTACGAGCCAACAATTCAACATTGACGTCGATGGAGAAACAGTGGTCGGTTGATCGTTTTTGGCATTTACATTGTCAAATCACCTACCTATTTCTATTTATTGTTCTAGTACAATCCTATGATTATTCCTTTTCGCATTTGAGTTTGCAAAAACCATACTAGGGAAAATAATTTATAGACAAAGAATTAGTCGATTTGGCGACTGCTCGTATCTTTCTTCTAACCTTACAATTTTATAGATTGGCGATCTAAAGAGGAACATTGAGCAAAGTCAGGGTGCCAATGATTACCCGGCAGATTCAATGAAATTAATCTACAACGGAAAAGTAATCGTATTCTCATTAATCTCTTTTGTTTTAGGAGCAAGTTTTTAAGAGAAGTGCAGATGCAGACTACAATTTTCATAATCGAGCCTAGCCTAATCTGATATTACGTGTTCGTCTGTTTGGACACCGCCTTGAACAGGTTTTGAAAAACAATGTGTCTGTCTTTCTTTCTTTCTTTTTTTCTTCCCCTTGTCTTTCCTTCTTTCTCTTGGCAAGTTAAGGTACCAAATAGCTCAGTGGTTAGAGCAATTGCCCGGTAAGCAAAAGGTCGAAGGTTCAATCCCCTTTCCGGAAATCTATTCCTTTACTTCTTTATTATTTATTACCCCTGCTATCAGTTGTACTTGGATGGATGCACACGAGTCGACGAAATGGCCATCGAGGATTTGTGCACAAATTCGAGTCAACTCAAAGAGCTCCGACTCAATGACTGCTACAGGATCACCGATAGTTGCATTAGGTACTGAATGATTAACATTCACCAGTAACAGTATTGTTTTCAGCATGATCTCGCGTACGATGTCAGATTTGCAAGCGATAACTTTATGCGGTGATGGGTTCAAGGAACTGTCGAGCTTTCTCATCTTTCACGCATCACGGGTCTCGTCGAGATTGCGTGAGTTAATAAAAACAATGGAAAGGTTACCGTAGTAATAAATGCAAATACTTGACAAATATGTACAGAAACCATATCTTTAAACCAAATATCCAAATTGAGCGCTATCCTTATGTGTTCCAATAATGCGTTTTCTAAGAGGTGGATAATTTGGAAAGCTACCGTATTCTTCCTTTGTAATATTGTAAATTCTACTTAATTTTGATCTCATTCCATTCTCAGATTGATCCTCCATCGAATCAGATCAAAATCTGAAAAAGGGATTAGGATAACTTTCCGACTTATTTACCGTTTAGAAAGCTTATTCACATTTTAGTCACTCCAAACCTAATTTCAGATTCGATTACAATCCGCTTGTTTGCGACGAGCTAATCGGGCATCTTGTCGAAAACGCAAAAGGGCTTCGATGTGTTTCACTCGCTAACTCAGGCTCTGATCAATCGATTTCAACAGATGGTTTGAGAAAACTTGCAAATCTCCGAGATCTAGAACAGGTGAAAACGAGGGAATGTAAAGAAACCATGAATTGCTTAATTTCCATGTACCCACTTCATTCCAGGTCGATCTATCCTCACTTGCCGCTGTCCGCTCACCAGTGCTCGTTGATCTCTGTTCAAAATGTACCAAGCTAGAGTTGATTCAGGTATAAACTATTATTTGAACCTGCCTATTCGAAAAAACAGATGCGCAATTGTGTTTACCTGTGCGATGACGGGATAGTTCAAGCACAAAAGCACAAAAGCACAAAAGAAGAAGAAAGCACAAAAGCTGAAACATCTTGATCTATCTGGCAGTATTTTGGTAAGGATCGTGCAAAGAAGGAGCTCTGAAGAAATTTTAGATCACGAGCAATTCGATTCAAGAAATCATCAAAGCATTTCCGTCAACTACCGGCCTTTCAACAATCACCGTCGTTGTGGGAGGAACGGCCGCCGAAACGGGAGAATTGAGAGTGCGCGGCAGTCGTGTTGCCATTGATTTCAGCGATTATTCGGCTCTCGTCGGCATGGCCACTTCTCAATCAGCTACCAGTAGCTATAGTCTAGGTGAGAATCTCTTTAGCATCAAGATTTGTTTTCCCCACGAAATTTGTGATTAATTTCATTCTCAGCACCGCACAACAGTCATTTGATGTCGAAAAGCATGTCCTCGTCAGAATTCTCCTTTGAAAAATGCGAGAAATTGGGTAAAATCCCAAACCGCATGCACATGTTTTGTATAACAAATCTCTAAATTTAGCTCATTCATACTTTTAAGTAACGCTATTTAACAGTTTAACTAGAAAAAACTGGTTTTATATTGCATTCCAATTTAGGTGATAGTGATGATGACGTGTCTGAGGATGACTTTGACGTCTTAACCGCTCAACGTAAGTCCAGAAAGCTTAAAAATCGATCAAAAAATTCAGGCTCTTTTTATATCGATGCCGTCTATGGGGAAGACGATTCCCCAGTTTTGGAAAGCAAAACGGAGATTTTAGAATGGGCAACTAAAGAAGCCAAAAATCTTGGCCTAATCGAACAAATTTGTGTGCTTCAATTTTAGTCTTTATATATGCATGTTTTTCACACTTGATATCTTGTAATCCTAGTCGCGTTTGATTCTATATAAATAAATTTATAGACATAAATAAATACATGCACATTGAAGGAAAATTTGAAATCCGATCAATATTAGACCGCCTCTTTTTTCTTCTCAAGGTTTCGCACTTTTGAGTTCAAAGTTTCAACCTAATTTTTAAAAAATAAACAAAAATTAGTTAAAAGGAACTTACTCTTTGATTCAATGTATTCATGAGTTTTTTGAAATCTTCGTAGAAAATCATCAACTCTAGAACTTCCCTAAATAATTAAACATGAGAAAAGTATAAGCTTTCTGATTAAATTAAATATACCTCTGATACGTTACCAGCGATTCGTTCAAATCCTTCGTTCAAATCAAGAGCAGCAGAGTGTTGTTCTGATGTACGAATCGCTTCAGAGTCTTGTACTGGCTAAAAAGACGATAACGATAAATTGAATTTAGATTGAAAGCTTGAACCTGGATATTAGCATCCCATTCTTCAAGTAAAGAAATATGTTTTCTTATCAAGTCTTCATAGAATTGTATAGTATTCAATTTTTCATCCAAAGGCTTCATATTCGGCTAAAAGAAAACACATGGATTGTAAAATTTCAATTCGTCTTATGTCGTTCGTTAAAGTCAAAGACTTTCTAATGTTCATTGAAGCTTTGCCTAAACGTTAGAACCGAAATAGACACACCTCTGTCATTGTGGATTTCAACTTCTGGAGATCTTCCATTTTTATCTTGAACACTTGTGAGTCTCCTTTCGAAAGCAGGGACTTTCGCAGAGATTCAACATCGAGGTCCGCAGCACTAACCTATACAAAATTAATATTTATCAATAAATTTAAACCGTTATCAAAATCCAAATAGGCATCGATCGTTTTACAACTTGACGCTATTTATCAAACGTATACCTCAGAAAGTTCGGATATTCCCAGCACTCGTTCGACTTCCGATAGACGCTCCTCTAGTCCATCCATCTAGAGCACAAAATTCAATAAAAGCTTATTTTTTCAATCGTTTTCGAATTCAAGGCCGATACTCGGGTGATAATAAGATGAAACACGCGGTCATCACAAATTTATTCACAATAGAACACAAAGAACAAAGAATGGAAAAATCCGAAATCGCAATTTGATATAATTTATTTTGTTCCAACTTGTTTCCCAATCGTGCGAACCAAATCAGCAAGTCGTGGACCTTCTGGGTTGATGCCAGTCAGTTCGTCGTAACTAAATCTCTAACGTTATATCTAAAGTTTTTCAAATTAACCGTTCGGCTATTTTCTCAGCAATTGCAGCTCCCGAAGACGAGAATACAGCGCATTGAGTGGCTAAAATATAAAGTACATGCACGCAAGCTAAAAGGCTTTTTTTAAAAAATTTTTCATTACTAAAGCTTTATAAACTTACTTACTTTCAGGTATTCATTTAGTTCTTTAATTGCTTCCAAACGCTTGCCTTGGGCCATCAAAATACTCACTTTGCGCTTTCGATACGACTGAAAAAAAATAAAGTAATAACTTTAGACTTTAAGTCACAAACATTATTTGTAGAATCCGCTTCGAGTAATTTGTCATACAATGAAACGGCGTTTGAATATCTAAAAAGCGTCATCAATAAATTAAAAGCGTCAAATGTTAAAATAGATCGGTCAACATGTAAACTCTTCGACAAATGTTTAGATAAAACCAACTGTTCAAGGGCTTCATATCGCATTGCCTGAAGCTTGAGTACGCGGTTACTTCGGGGAAAACGCTTATCCAATTCCTAAAAAAATGATCGACTTAAATGAAATCGGTGACAAGTTACCTGAATGCATTCCATAGCTAGATCGTATCTAGCACAATCCAATGCCGCTATGCAGACCTAAACTACGCACTGTTACACTCGTATTGCTTTAAATTTGACAACCTGCTCGTAGATCATCCAAACTTCATCTCCCAGTGATGAAGGACTTCTACTCAACACATGTTCCCAAAGCTCGACAACCTAAAATTAATGGCAATTTGGTTTATTGCAAATTCTAAAAACCTCTTCGCTTCTTCTTGATTGGTCTTCTCGCCATTCGCGTAAGGTCTTTCGTCCCACTAAACCTCAAACTTCACAAAAAGTTAACATGATCTACCTTCAAAAGACACAATTGTCCAATCCTTTGTTTCTAGGTAGCCCATCTAAACAAAAAAAATGCATATTTCTTACAAAAACTCAAATGAAAAACCTTGACAAGGATAACGACAACTTCTCTATGCCTTATCCGAACTTCTTTTTAATTTTTTTACCCATTAAATATCAATAGTTATAAATTTGGTTCCTTATCCATTTAAATTTGGTTCCTTATCTGTCTAAATCTGGTTCCTTATCTATCTATTGTTGATTGTTGCGCGTTGCGCTTCGAACAACACCAGAACAACGACGATATCGATGGAGTGGTGGCGTTGTTGAGATCGAAAGGTGAGCTAAAAGTAGCCGTTCAAGTCTAACCAACATTTGGCGTCAAAATTCGAATTCGACAAAATGAGTTTTCGTCTTTGACCCCGGTTTCTTTACCCAACTAGCGGGTGGGGGAAAGAAAAAAAAAATCACGTGAAGAATATAAAATTAAGAAAGAAATTTCAGAAATGTGACTCAAAACAGATAAAATTAAACCCAATGATCCAGGAAGGGAGAAGTTACGGTCGGTTTAGTTACCCAACTGTCAAGGTTCGTTCAGTAACCTAACATTCGTAAATGTCATTTTTTCAAATTTCTTGGATCCAACCACCCCAGTACCTCCCAGGACCGACTATTTTAGAAATAGTCGCTTAGAACTTAGGTTTAGAAAAAATGCTTAGAAAAAAAATTCTTAAGAAATGCTTTTTAAGCTTAAAAAAGCTTAAAGTAGCTTAAAAAGCTTAAAGTAGCTTAAAAAGCTTAAAGTAGCTTAAAAAAGGTTAGAAAGCTTAAAAAAGGCTTAGAAAGCTTAAAAAAAGCTTAGAAAGCTTAAAAAAGCCTAAAAACGGCTTAAAAATGCTTATAAAACTTAAAGTTTTAAAAAGGCTTAGAAAGCTTAAAAAAGCTTCTTACCCTTACTTACTTTCCTTTCCTTCTTTTACGTTCCTTTCTGTCCTTTCCTTTCTTACTTTTCCTTTCTTACCTTTACTTTCTTACTTTTCCTTTCTTACCTTTACTTTCTTTCTTTTCCTTTCTTCCGTTTCTTTCCTTTCCGTTCTTACTTTCCTTTCTTTCCTTTCCTTCTTTTACGTTCCTTTCTTTCCTTTCCTTCTTTTATGTTCCTTTCTTTCCTTTCCTTTCTTACTTTCCTTTCTTACTTTCCTTTCTTACTTTCCTTTCTTTCCTTTCCTTTCTTTCCTTTCCTTTCTTTCCTTTCTTAATCTTAAATTCCTTTTTTTTCAGATTAATTTTTACGAAAATAGCAAGAAACGATGGAAAAGAAAGCGATCTCAAAAAGGAGGGGATTGAGATGGAAATGGAACACATGCAAGTAACTAAAAAGTGCTACTGCTTTAAAGTGCACTAAGGAACATATTCTAATCCTAATTTCTAATTCTAATTCATTCGTTCTCACTCTCGAAAGTCTTTCCGTTCCTTTTCGTACTTTCGTTTAAAACCAACAAATGCATCAATTTAACGGTTTGTTTCATTAGAAAGGTCAATTATTTTTCTGCAATAATAACATTAAAACAGGTTTTAAATGTCTTATGTCTACATTTTTTTGGGAGTAAAGTATATTTATTCGACACGAATAATGGATTACAACAAAACGGAGGAAATTTTACCCCTAGTTACCCCTATTACCCAAAATATTGTTAAGATAAAATAGGTTTCATGGGAAAAAGAACCAATTTTTCTAGCCGTTGGGGTCGAACCCTTGACCTTCCGACTAGGAGATAAGACTCCTAGTCCAGTCGGCTACGATGGCTATGAAGTCGGGTAGTGAAAAATGGTAGCTCGATGATGCGATTTAGAGACTTTAGCTAAGGGAACCTATCTTCGTGTCAATAGATAAAAGATAGAGCTTAAAAGGTTAAGTATCTAGCTAAATTTTTAGAGAAATTCATTCAGCCAATTTCTTTGTAGAGGTTTTTAGAGATTCTTACAAAAACACGTGTTTAAACTCTCGAATTTGCTGCAAAGTGAACCGAAATTGACTTAAAAAGATGGGAAATTCAACAATAAACACTTTTTATCGGAGAAAACGATAGGTTTATTGATGAATTTGTTATTTTTTTCAACGGAAGTATGAAAAGGAACGAAAAGGCAAGACTTTCTGAACAGCCTAATATTAGGCTAAATACTAACAAGAGAATTTCAACCGGGTGTGGTAACTAAATGACATGAGCCATATTCGAAAAGGATTGTTTGTTTCCAATCCCACTAGTTTGCAGGCTGGAACATCCCGGAGAAAAAACATCAATAAGACCTGGTGCTTAACAAAGCTGCATTCACGATCTTTAGGCAAAAAAAGGTTTAAAATACAAATGAATGCTTAAAAAGTGATCAAAGAGTTCTTTAGCTTTAGCTTTAGCGTTTTCCTTGGCGATGATCAGATCAATGAGCGCCCGAATCCTAATCCAGCTCCCGTTCCAATCTTCATACCACTTACAGGTTAGCGCTTTAAAATCACATTCTAATCGATAAGTGTCAACAAACAACAGACCAGTAGCAAAGAAATTTTTTCTTTACTTATTCAACTTTGTTGTACTGAAAATCGAGTGAGTTTTGCCAGTTTGATATGGCTCGGTCATAGCCCTCTAATCTAGACTCTACAGTAGTAGACATGGGAAAATTCCAACGCAAACCTAATTCCACCATTAACCGTTTCTTAGACTCTGCACTCTATCTGTAGACATCTGTTTCTTTTCTATCTGTTCTATCTTTCTTTTCTATCTGTTCTATCTTTCTTTTCTATCTGTTCTATCTTTCTTTTCTATTTCTATTTGTAGACAAACTTTCCAAGCAATCGACCAAGAAAATAAAGGTGGAATTAGGTTGGGCTTGGAATTTTCCCATGTCTAGGCTCTAGTAGTAAGCTAGGCAAGTACTAATATCATAGTAATATGTCAGGGTTCAGTTAACCTTAAAGTAAAATCTGATCCCAAGCTCGATCCTTGTAATCAAATCAATCTCCTCTTACAACGCTTTCCAACGAACGACGATCTGCTGCGAGTTTTCAGAGACGGAGATCACCGGAGTAAAAATGGAAAATATTGGAATGAGAGGAGATGAATGAAGAAAGGGATTCGAGATTAGTAAATCGATACGATTAGAGATTCTAGAATCAGAGACAAATTTTAAAAGTTCAAATTATCTAAGATCTATAAAGTCTTCTAAAGTACGGGTACTTTAGTCGAATCGGGTAAAGAATCCAGTGGTACGCATGAGGCTTGTAAAACGGATAAACGGATATGACAAAAACTTCTCTGCTGTGCATGATTCGGTTCTCATTTCTTGTTGCAAAATGCTGTGATTGATCGGTACTTTTTCAGGATTCTAGGAAATGTAAATTTAGAAGTTGTTAACAAATTTACTTCAAAATTGTAAAAGAAACTTGTAAAAGTACCGTAGAAAGTTCACTGGTATGGTGCTTTTTAAAAAGCATTAGAAAACTACTGTAATCCATTATATTATTATCCTAGACTAAAATGGTTTATGAACATAATAAGTAGACATCCTGGGGAACAATCATGTAAATCATGAAAATTTGTTTCTCTAGGTGAATCCTGTCTTTTACAGGACACGAAAGTAGACGCGTAGGTAATACCTTCTCGAGCCGCTCCTTTTTTCAGCTCCTTTCTCGTTCTTTAGGCCCAAAATATGGATCAAGTTCAAGCTTTCACTAACTTTTCAACAACTGTTAAAATCTTATCTAGCAAATTTAAAAAATGTATTCAACTAAGTGAGCATAGGAATAAGTTCGAATTTTCAAGCTCGGAACATCGGAACTCGGATAAATGGATTTGCACGCTATTTTTAGGCACTAAAAAGGTTTTTGTTATAGATAAACCCAAATTTATTAACAACAAGTTACGTGTCGAGCATGAAGGACAATTGAAGGCTTTGAAAATGGTGCGCTTTGGTGGCATTTTTTTAACTGTTTAATAGTGAAGATAATTCAGATGAATCAGAAGGAAACAAAAAAAAAGAGTCAGTCCATTCAATCGATTGATATAGTGACAGGGAGAGACTGGTTGAGGGAATGGGGCTTTTTTGCGCAACTGTCAGAAAGAAGGCATCTGGAAAATTCTGGAAAGAAAACGAATTCAAATTGCGCCAATTCAGCATCTTAATCAAATTGAATGGTTAAAATCAGCTTTATTAACAACAAGTTACATAAAGAAGCTAAGATCCGTAACTCCAAGAAATCTTAGGAAGTTTTCCTTGATTACTTTCAAGTTTACTCACCCATCATGCAATATGAAGGAGGCGTTGTGTACTCGAAACAACTCAGATCTTTGCATTGATGTGCTCGAATCCACGGGGCTATTGCTCGTTGTTCATTACGACATTTCATGCACACTGCTTGAATATCATAACAATCAGTTTGTGCCGGTGTATTTACTTCATTTGCCGTTTTTGAGTCTGAAATACAATTCTGTACATTTTTGTTACAATAAGTTAATGAAAAAAAATGCGCTTTTATGAATTCAAAGTAAAACTTACACGGGGTCGAACAGAGTGCACAATTGAGCGATTTGAAGATCGACATTTGAAGAGTGACAAATAATAGTCACAGAAGATGTTTTGCCTAAATAAATTTTTTTCTGGACCAAAAGATTGCGCGATGCGCGAGTTTTAAAAACAAAACACAATATTTGTACTTTTGTTTTTATTTGCTGATTTGCTTTGATTATTCTTTATCTATTCTGCTACTTGAGTGCCCATCGAGACAACATTCAAGATCCTTCTTAAACTCTTTCCGTGGCTCTTTTTCCAAAAAAGTCTAATGAAAATATATTAGGGTAATGGAAATGAAACCCGAAACATATCTTTCTAAAAATAAAAAGATTGCAAGCCTCAGCCAATAACTTTTGTATCCTATTGGAAAGCTCCGAATCTTCTCTACGAAATTCAAAATCTTTTTTTCCACTATTTTCTAGAGGAGATTCAGAGCTTTCTAATATTATAAAACAGCTATTGGCTTAGGCTTAGTTTCTTTTCTCTCTCACTCAAG